ATCCTCATAACCTTACTCTTTCCTGTATTCACTTTTAATTTTCTTCTTTTGCATACCCTACCAAATTCATCCACCAATCTCTGCAACTTCTCTTCAGAATCTCCAAAGAACAGTGTCGTCAGCAAAGAGCAACTGTGACAACTCCAACTTTGTGTGTGATTCTTTATCTTAACTCCACGCCTCTTGCCAAGACCCTCGCATTTACTTCTCTTACAACCCCATCTATATTATTATTATAATAAAAAAAGAAGCGCTAAGCCACAAGGACTATACAGCGACCCCATCTATAAATATATTGAACCACGGTGACATCACACATCCTTGTCTAAGGCCTACTTTTACTGGGAAATAATTTCCCTCTTTCCTACATACTCTAACTTGAGCCTCACTATACTCTTAAAAACTCTTCACTGCTTTCAGTAACCTACCTCCTACACCATACACCTGCAACATCTGCCACATTGCCCCCCTATCCACCCTGTCATACGCCTTTTCCAGATCCATAAATGCCACAAAGACCTTTAGCCTTATCTAAATACTGTTCACTTTTGTATTTCACTGTAAACACCTGGCCCACACACACCCCCCTACCTTTCCTAAAGCCTCCTTGTTCATCTGCTATCCTATTCTCCGTCTTACTCCTAATTCTTTCAATAACTACCATACACTTTACCAGGTACACTCAACAAACTCATCCCCCTATAATTTTTGCACTCTTTTGTCCCCTTTGCCTTTATACAAAGGAACTATGCATGCTCTCTGCCAATCCCTAGGTACTTTACCCTCTTCCATACATTTATTAAATAATTGCACCAACCACCCCAAAACTATATCCCCACCTGCTTTTAACATTTCTATCTTTATCCCATTCAATCCGGCTGCCTTACCCCCTTTCATTTTACCTACTGCCTCACGAACTTCCCCACACTCACAAACTGGCTCTTCCTCACTCCTACAAGATGTTATTCCTCCTTGCCCTATACACAAAATCACAGCTTCCCTATCTTCATCAACATTTAACAATTCCCTCAAAATATTCCCTCCATCTTCCCAATACCTCTAACTCTCCATTTAATAACTCTCCTCTCCTATTTTTAACTGACAAATCCATTTGTTCTCTAGGTTTCCCTTTAAAACTTGCTAATCTCATTCAAAACTTTTTCTTATTTTCAACAAAATTTGTTGATAACATCTCACCCACTCTCTCATTTGCTCTCTTTTTACATTGCTTACCCCACTCTCTTAACCTCTCTTTTTCTCCATATATCCTTCCCTCCTTGCATCACTTTTACTTTGTAAAAATAATCATATGCTAACTTTTTCTCCCTTACTACTCTCTTTACATCATTCCACCAATCGCTCCTCTTCCCTCCGCACCACCTTCCTGTAACCACAAACTTCTGCTGAACACTTCAACACTACATTTTTAAACCTACCCCATACCTCTTTGACCCCATTGCCTATGCTCTCATTAGCCATCTATCCTCCAATAGCTTTTTAAATATCTTACCCTAATTGCCTCCTCTTTTAGTTTATAAACCTTCACCTCTCTTCCCTGATGCTTCTATTCTCCTTGTATCCATCTACCTTTTATCTCAGTGTAGCTACAACTAAAAAGTGATCTGATATATCTGTGGCCCCTCTATAAACATGTACATCCTGAAGTCTACTCAACAGTCTTTTATCTACCAATACATAACCCAACCAACTACTGTCATTTCGCCCTACATCATATCTTGTATACTTATTTATCCTCTTTCTTAAAATATGTATTATCTATAACTAAACCCCTTTCTATACAAAGTTCAATCAAGGGCTCCCATTTTCATTTACACCTGGCACCCCAAACTTACCTACCACACCCTCTCTAAAAGTTTCTCCTACTTTAGCATTCAGGTCCCCTACCACAATTACTCTCTCACTTGGTTCAAAGGCTCCTATACATTCACTTAACATCTCTCAAAATCTCTCTCTCCTCTACATTCCTCTCTTCTCCAGGTGAATACACGCTTATTATGACCCACTTTTCGCATCCAACCTTTACTTTAATCCACATAATTCTTGAATTTACACATTCATATTCTCTTTTTCTCCTTCCATAACTGATCCTTCAACATTACTGCTACCCCTTCCTTTGCTCTAACTCTCTCAGATACTGCAGATTTAATCCCATTTATTTCCCCCCACCGAAACTCCCCTACCCCCTTCAGCTTTGTTTCGCTTAGGGCCAGGACATCCAACTTCTTTTCATTCATAACATCAGCAATCATCTGTTTCTTGTCATCCGCACTACATCCACGCACATTGGTTTAACATAATGCAATTTGTGATGTAGCAGTGCAGACCAACGTTGATGCCAATGAGTGCAAAGGTGGGTAGCAATTATAGCAAAATATTCTGTGAATGGAACACCTCTATACGAAACTGGGAGGTCATGTACTGCTGACCGTGGAGCAGTGTCTGCCTGTTCATTGCCCTGTACATCAACATGACCGGGGACCCAACAAAAAACTATCTTTGCTTGCTAGAGATACGGTGTAACCAAAGTTACAGGGGATGAGGTATCAAATTGTCTTGTAGCCTGTATAGCACTAAGGGAGTCAAACTACCACAAATGGCGACAGGCATAGATGCAGTACAGATAAGTGCTACGAGGATGGCATACAATTCAGTCGTAAAAATGCTAGCCGAGAATAAATGCCCTCTCACAACGCTGTCCGGAAACACTGCTGTAAATCCGACGCCATCAGAAGACTTGGAGACATCGGTGTATACCAAGGTGGGTAGAGAAAAGTTAGATGCTACATGAACATGGAAAGGTGGTAACTGAAGAGAAGACGAGTGTGAATGTAGGCGAAGAGAAAAGGTACTTTGTAATAATAAAAAAAACCGTTGAAGGTAGTAGGATTTTAGACAGCAGCCGCCCAGGGAAGTACTACCGTTGTGCCAAGTGAGTGTAAAACGGAAGCCTGTAATTGCCTTACACGATGGTAGAATTGCTGGCATTTTTTTTTTGTCCTATAAAGATGCAAGATTTCAGGCAAGTCTTGCTACTTCTACTGACACTTAGGTCATACTACGCATGGATGTACAAGCATATATATACACACCCCTCTGGGTTTTCTTCTATTTTATTATTAGTTCTTGTTCTGGTTCTGGTTATTTCCTCTTATCTCCATGGGGAAGTAGAACAGAATTCTTCAAGCCATGCGTGTTGCAAGAGGTGACTAAAATACCAGGAGCAAGGGCACTAGTAACCCCTTCTCCTGTACACATTACTAAAGTTCAAAAGGGAAACTTTTTTCTTTTTGGGCCACCTTGCCTCAGTGGGATATGGCCTGTGCATTGAAAGATAAAAAAAAATAAGTGTTAAAATTTGTGCTCCTAGTTAAATTATGCAGCTGAACAGCTCCCAGGCATCAGAGATGAGCGAATCAGTCGTCTTGAACCTAGTGTAAAAGTGCATCAACCAGTTGGTCAAAATTAGCAGACTTTTTCGATTATATTAATCCTCAACAGCAGAACTGACATCACTGTTCATTATAAATTTACCATTGTATTGCTGATATGTGAAATTACAGAGTTAATCGAGTTTCAGTGTATTGTCGACGTCAAGTTCAACACGCGATGCATATTTTAAGATACATCAGGCAGAAGTCATTATCATGGCCAAAATGGAATTACAAGTTACTAATTCCAGCAGGTCACAGTTCTAACCTAAAGAGTTATAGCTACTAAAGTGTCCTTGTCTTCTAATAAATGCTTATGATTATTTGTGATCATAATCCAACTTGGGTCTGTCAATAAATAGGTGTAAAATTCTAGCTATCAGTTTCAGTTCTTGGATTGGCCACTTCCGGTTGATTACATTGCACTGCGAAACTGGTATGTGCGATAAACACTGTAGCCTATTTCTTAGTATAGTCAGGTCAATGTGGGCGACTCCTACACATTCCTTCCACCCCCTCCCTCCCGACACTGAGGCTTTTCATGAGCCCCTGATTTTTCACAGATTTCCTCAAGTATTCCATTACTCTAAGTACAGATTCAGTAGCTATGGCAGCTTCAGAAGTTTTCTTAAAACAGACCTGAAGTTACTATTATTTGGGTATTACCATCTCAGGATGACTGGGAGGATTAGTTAGGGGGGGGGATGGAAAGACAAATAATAACAGATGCGAATTCTCCAGGGTCCTGCCTATTAAGTGTAGGCAGGCCCTGCTTATACAACGAGTTAGGTTCTGGCTACTGTTGTAAATATATAAAAAAAACTAAAGTGAAACAGCTTTTTTCACTTTCAAATGTGTATAAAAGCCTGATAACATGTTTAAGCAATCATATATTAAGTGAGAAATGCATATACAGTACACACATTGTGGAAAAAGACACTTATGTACAGTTCAGGACATTTATTAAAGGAAACGTTTCGCCACGAGTGGCTTCTTCAGTCCTAATACAGAGAAAACTAAGAAAACACACATATATATAGTGGCGGGAGTTTAGTTTTAGTTAGTTTTCTCTGTATTAGGACTGAAGAAGCCACTCGTGGCGAAACGTTTCCTTTAATAAATGTCCTGAACTGTACACAAGTGTCTTTTTCCACATCTTGTCGGTATCACCATACCATTTCCTCAGTACACACATTACTTAAAATATTTTCGTCCATAGCTGAGCGAGTGGCGAATATATTTATTGTAGGAAGTCTCGAAAATGAAGAATGGGTATAACAGAGCTGCTGAATTACTGAAACGCCGTAAAACGGGACCCTCCTGTACTGCTGCTGTCCATACTGCAACTGTCAGCTACAAATCCTTACTCTTATGTAACTTCATCAAGACATTAAAAAATGCACTTTCCCAAAGTACTACAGATAAATTTTAATTAGAATTATTCGATTTATCTAATATTTCAAAGGACATGTGATGAAAGAAACTGCAAAAAAATTGGCTCATTCATGTCAAATAGTGAATTAAATTAATATAAAAACGATATTCTCATACCTGCAATTCCATTTTGGGCAGCATTCTCCCTGTGGTGAATATTTGAGACAATTAGGATGACGAGGATAAACTGTACTGCATTCCACAGGCTTCGTCTGAAATCCATTTTCTGTGCACACGGATAATGAACACGGGTCACTTGTGTTCAAGGTTTTGCCAACATCTTCCTTGGTCTTGCACTCTCCAACACTAGGCTGAGGGTCATTCTTACCGTGGAGAGAAGTTAGAAGGTTCTGAATTGCCTTGACAGGCTTCCAAGAGATCCATGACAATGGCTTCCATTTATGCTGAGCCACCTGGATAAATCGGGAAGTCGTTGCACCGCTTGGTTTATCATCCACTCTACCAGACGAGACCATTTCATTAAGAGAAATCCACTTATTAATACAAGGCAAAACAATACTGCAGTGTGTCATTGAGAGAATGGGTCACCCGAAATTACCAAACGAGTTTATATACACAAACCCAAAATGGATGGAAAAATAAACAGTACACTATACGAAGAAGTTCTTCGAATACTACAGCACCACAGTTTTGACTAAATAAATAGCAAGTAACCAAAGAAATACAAACTAGCGTCTTATTTCGAGAAACTAACTTTTAAAATTTTGGAAGCTCAGATTTTAGTCATTTATTAAAAAAAGCGATCACTAAGATTGGCTCCCATGCAAGTTAAACAATGAAAATGCTATTCTGGATCCGAAATTTATGTAAAATGAGACGGCTTAATTTATCCATCCTATCCAAGAATTTGAGTATAATTTATCTTAGGTGTGAGAAATTAAAGTGGCCCGTAACGTGATTTATCAGTAAACTAAAAGTACCATTAATATTAATTCTACAAAGCATTAGGATTATTTCAGTACCTACACATTTACCATATGAGGATATACCTTAATATACAATAATAATGTAGTTTTATAAGCAGTGATATTTTCCTAATGCACATAACCTTGATCCTTTGGAATCATCCGATTACACAATTTAAAAATTGACTAAATAAAAATAGAATGTATGAATAGTTTACTTTAAACAGAAATAAAATACTGTGTAATTTAAATGCAAATATATGTAGTGTGCTTAAATATAAATGTGTATAGTTTATTTTAAATAGAAAGAGTATATATGGATAGTTTACTTTAAGCCTTATTTTAAGAATTAATCTACGAGGGTTGTGGTTTAATGATCTTTCAATTAGATTTAAAGCCTAACACTTGAATGAGCATGAAGTAAAGCTTTCCAAATGAAAATGAGTTATCTACTAGTAAACAAGACTGCAGCTATAGACTGCTCGGCTACACCTTGTCTTCTAAATATACAAACTTTTTCTTCACTAGTTAAATTCTTTGATTTCTGGTCTACCTAAACTTCCAAAATTTAATCATTTTTATTATAGGTGAAGTAAACTTTCTTTATATTTAAGTCATGTTAGCCACCAATAAAATCAATAAAACTGCAAAACATTTGGCTTATATTCTGCAGTACATGACACAGGGAGACTTAATGGTTTTTTAGTGTTGGATTCCCCATGATAATTAATATTTATTTCTACAAGAACATGTACAAGGAATACATGCCTAGCTGACATCAATGACATACTACTATATAGAAAGCCCTTTGTTATGCAGAGCATTTTGGGCAAATTAGGTAAATTTTGTTCCAGGATGCAACCCACACCAGTCAACTAACACCCAGGTACCTATTTTACTGCTAGGTGAACATGGACAGCAGGTGGAAGATGAGTATAACAAACCTATTCTCCCATTGTATCCCAATTGAACCTTGTACCAGACCTATTTATGTACCTGCATACAGAATGCCTCATTCACAAGTTGCTGCTGCAGAAGAATTGATCAACAAGATGCTTGATGGTGTTATCGCACCTAGTATTTCATCTCGGAACATGCCCTTGATCCTAGTAGCTAATTAGGATGGCACTTGGCATCCAGTGATTGACCTTAGGAAGTTAAATGTGAAAACTATTGCAGATCGCTTCCCACTTCCTGTACTTGACCTTTTATGTAATACCAGAGATAAAGCTTTTGACCCCGGGCTTGCTACAAGGGTTTTGGCAAGTCCCTCTCCACGAGGACAGCCAAGAGCTAACCGCATTTTCCACCCCTACAGGTCATTATCATTTCCTCAGAATGGCCTTCGGTTTATGTTTATCGCCCATCACATCCTCGAGGTTCATGACTAATATCTTTAGAGGCCTCATAGGTAACGTACTTAGATGTGATTATCGTGTCAGAAGACGTGGAAATGCACTTGAAAAGACTATGTGGTACTTGGTAAGCTTGAAGAAGCTAATTTAAAGATCAAACTGTCTAGATCTCAATTTTTCATATAGGAATCAAGTTTCTTGGTCACAGTCACTCCTAGAGGGGTTATGACTGACCAAAGTAAAGTAACTGCAGTATTAAATTTTTCATCTCCAAAAACTGATGCCGTAAGACCCTGTGTGGGTCTAGCAGGTTTTTACAGACTTTTCACTGCTAATTTTTCTTCTATAGCAGCCTCCTCTAACCGAGTTGCTTAAGAAAGATGCTCCTTTCGTTTGGATCTTCCATCAAGAAAGAGCATTCCAAACTCTCAAAGAAAAGCAAACATCTGCCCTAGTTTAGAAATTTCCAGATTTTTCTAAGCCTTTCTATCTGACAATTGAAGTTAGTTCAATTGGTAAAGGTGCCATCCTAGCTCAGAAAACCAATAGGAAGTGCAGTGCAGTTGCATTTGCTAGCCGAGTTCTTACAAAGGCTGAATGCAATTATACAGTAACTGAGCAAGAAGCCTTAGCAATAGTATGGTCTTTAAAGCACTTCTGAGACAATATTTATCAGTACCCTGTTCATGTCCTGACAGACCATGCTCCACCGATTCCTTTATTCCAGAATAAACAACCTACTGGAAGGTTAGCCAGATGGTCTTTTGACAGTCCAAGAGTTCAACCCTACCTAGCAAGTCAAATGTAGTCGCAGATGCTTTATTGCAACATAGCACTATAATAAACCATGTAAAGAATGCTCAAAGAACATATTCCATAAAAGTCTGGTGTGATTCGATTCCTGCTTCAGGAAGATCTATTTCTCACTGTGAAGTCACCAGCATACATCAGCGACTGTCAAACCAAGAATTACTGTATCGAACAGCCAAGCTGGGTACTCCTAGCAGAAGGGTATGCCAGTTAGTAATTCCACAGACACTAGCGAATGTAGCATTGCAGCTAGTTAACGATGTACCAGGTGCTGATCACCCTGGTATGGATCGTTTTGTAAAACAAGCCAGATTGAAATACTCTTGGCCTCGTATGGCAACTGATATTTCTGAGTATTTTAAGAAATGTAGTGTCTGCATGCAGCATAAAGGTAATGCTAATGGTCTTAATCCAATCCAGGTGTATCCAGCTACTAGCGAACCATGGGAAAGAGTTGTGCTAGATCTGTTAACTAATTTCCAATGTTCCCTCCAGGGCAACAAACAGCTGTGTGTTATGGCACATCATTTCACCAGATATTGTGAATTGGTTCCTACTGCAGATAAGACTACCAAGGCAGTAGCTAAAGCATTTAAAGAATGTATAATCTGCAGGTATACAACTCCCAAGTCCCTCATAAGAGAATGGAGGTGAATTCTGTAATGAGATTCTTGAAAAGCTGTGCACTTTGCACATGATCTCTAAATCGACCACTGTTCTTCACCATCCTGCAAGTAATGATTTAACAGAGAACCAATAAAAAAGTACTCGATGTCTTGAGAGCCACTATCAATCCCAACAGTGCAACCTGGGATGAAGTTATACCTAATGTTCAGCGTGCAATAAATTCTGCTTATAGGTGACACTCCACATTATGCATTGTACGGTGTAGATAAGCATCTACCATACGAGTTGTTATATTCTAATCCGTAACCAAACTACAACTCTAATTTTATAGCAACTCATACCAGCTTGGCTCAAGGTGTATTTAGAAGAATCCGAGAAACTTCATAAATGAACAGCAGAATTTATGAGAGTAATACTTGAGCACAGCCGACCAAAATTAGAGTAGGTTTGAGAGTTATGCCGACTAACTTTAATAAAACATTTGCAGTGCCTAAGCTTGATCAAGTTTGTTGGTCCATATTGAGTAGTTGAACATATCAATGGCAATAAGTATAAAGTTCGAGAAATCAGTACAGACTGAATCCTCCTGACTCTGCCCTCTACGTCTAAGTCAATCAGGTGAACAACCTGAATGTCGTTATTCCCTACATACATGACAAGTATTGAGAACTTTCCAAGTATCATTTGTAAAAGCTAATTTAGATCCTCGTCAACCATGGCATGAGTTAGTCATTGCAACAGAATTTGATACCCCCAGATAAGATAATCATTCTGCATATGTAAATCTCACCCTACCAAAGTTGGAGTTAAATGTAAATAATCTCTATAGATAGATAATTTAGGCTAGAGAATATTTCAATTGTGTTATGTATCAACTTATTAGTCAAGAAATTTTTTTTGGTGTATGTTCTCTCCAAGTTGAGATGAGATTTAACAGTAAAAGATTAGAGTGCACCAAGTCTGCCTTTTCTGTTAATCGCTTCCTTCTTTGTACATATACTTCCTCAGAATCCATATATCATATGAATACAGATCAATCGATCTTCTCTTTCTTAATTTTTTTATAGTGCAATGCAATTATTAATTTTATCAAGTGCTATGCTTTGTGATTTATCATACTTTGTAATGCATTACAATAACATTATGTATAGTTATAATGTTCAACTGTTTTGTACTTTGACATTGTATAGAATCAGCCAGAGCCGTATGCCTGTAGTCTCTAGTTCGTATTAGCTCTGTCGGGACGCCATACATTAGCGTCGCCAAACTGTCAGTCGTGTCAGTTGTGCCTCATACCAGTAACTATTACAAACAGTTACACGACTCGCTGCTGCCCTGCTAGCATGACATCACGAGTCACCCTTTGAAAGGTGCTTCAGGCACTGCCCTCAATTGAAACTAAGATATGGCAGGTACAGATCAAGGTGGCTCTGAGTGCTCTCCCTTACCTTAATATACATTTACCAACATATCCAACGTGTGTTTATTACCCAAATCCATCACTGAACCCCCCATGACATACCAGACACTAAAAATACTATTTTAATTTCTAATTACATATGCATTCAGAATTTCTTGTGTACACATAATTAAGTATTTAGGTTTAATTCCTATTTACTACCAGTTTCACCAAGGCCACTTAAATTTTTGATCTTCATTCTTCAAATCTATATTCATTACCCAGTAATACACATCCATACAACCCAGAAACATCTGGAAAAAAAAAATGACATACAAGTGTAATACTCACGGGCACTTCCAGCGAGGACAACACTGGCCATCTATCCTCTTTGCTACGCAACCTTGATGAATTTTTGGGAGAGGACCACAGTACACCCTGTATGTAATTATGATCCCCTTTGTACAAACCAACTGGGTGCATGGGTCCCTAGGATCTTGCCATTGCTCCCTCTCTCTTCTGTGCACGCCGTCACCATCTACACAACCACTAAGGCACAATAATAATAATAATAATAATAATAATAATAAATTATTTCTACATGTACAAGGTATACAGGCCTAGCTGACATCAATGACATACTACTGTAGAGAAAGCCGCTTGTTATGCAAAGCATTTCGAGCAAATTAGGTCAGTTTTCTCCCAGGATGCGACCCACACCAGTCGACTAACACCTAGGAACCCATTTTATACTGATGGGTGAACAGGGACAGCAGGTTGTCTTAAGGAAACATGTCCTAATGCTTTCCAGCGGTACCATACCGGGATTCGATCTCAGGACCTCAGAGTGAGCCAAGTGTGAACCGAAGAGGTTAAATGCTAGATTTATTGGGTAAGAAAATCTGAAAAAAAAAACCACAAACATCTTTGTCTGCTAATATTACGTGGTAGAGAATTTTTTTATTATTTATTTTTTTTTGCTTGTTAAGGTATTGAGTATAAACAAGTCCGTCACTTCAGAATTTCCTTCAACAGAATAAAATTTACCGGCCACAAATGCCTCAAAAGTTCGCATCCTGCTGACTGCAGTGTTTTTCTATATATTCCCGTTTGTTTCTGCATGGTACACTGATATAAAAATCTTTTGCGAGGTCAGAACATACAGGAGACGAATGAAATACCTTGAAACTATGCTTGAGGCTCACTGGTGTGCCCAAGCTGGGAGAAACATGGCTTGTAAACACGGCTGCCCAGCTTTTGAGTCATCTGTAGCCGAGTGGTCTAGAGCAAAGGCAATTAGTCTGAATAACATCCTCGGTAACAAATTTAATTCACTAATTGTACCCAATATACAGTATTTACTTCAGTTTGCCCAACACCGTTTTCAATATGAATAAAGGAAGGGGGATGAGGTGACGATTTTAAACCACCTTGCAGAAATTTTTTTAATTCAGTTTTGCAAGCATGCAACGGGAACGTCCGGTCGAATTCTCTATCCGTGCATTTGTTTTCAATTATTCAAGACATTTTTAATGTTGAACTCTTCTTGAGAGGTATTTTTGTGAAGGGCTCTTCATCCAAGGAACAGATAATTTCTATAAATACACGATATACAGACATAGCTGACATCAATGACTTATACAGAAAGCCCCTGGTATTTATGGAAAATTAAGTTTGTTTTGTCTCGAGGGTGCGATCCACACCAGTCGACTAACACCCATGGAGCAGGGAAAGAGAGACCCAGTAGCAACCGGTGAAGAGGCGGGGCCAAGAGCTAAGACTCGACCCCTGCAACCACAAATAGGAGAGTACAAATAGGCGAGTACCCAGGTACCTACTTACTGCTAGGTCAACAGGGACAGCAGGTGTCTTAAAACACACCCATTTTTTTTCACCCTTACCGGGGATCGACCCACGGACCTCAATGTGTAAGCTGAGTGAGCTACAAGACCTTTAAAGATTACCCATGAATTTAGTTTTAATGTTTAGGTTCTGTTCATTCTACAAGGGATGGGGGGGGGGAGCGAATCAGATCCCTTTTCGTCAGTGACAGGTTCTGGAATCTAGAAAATTTAGCTTCTCTCCTTTCTTTCATAAAGCCAGATTACATTCCACGCTTCAGGTGTTGCATGACCCTTATGAATTTTGCACCGCGTGAATATACATTTTTTACAGTAATGACTTAACAGAACTTACACTATCTTTAAACCTTATACGTACTTCATCTTGTCTTCCAACGATGAAGCGTGCTTTTAATTCCATAATTTGGTCTCCTGGTGGAAGATTAAAAGTATTTTTTTTTTTTGGAGCCAGTCTGCGAGGACCAGAACAATATTTAGGTTCCTGCGAGATCTGAGAATTTTGTTAGTTATGAGCCATCATTCCAGGATGCCTGGAAAAGGTTCAGAAAAATTCGTCACAGGGCACGTGAACATACCAACTGTTACAAGGGTTAAAATTTTGAAGTAGGTTGGACGAGGCGGTCTAGATTGATGAGCAAAATAAAATCGAAAAATTGGAAAAAAAAAAATTGAGGTAACCTCTTAAAAGGTCCCCCTTTGTTGATATCTAAATGTCCCTCATATGTTTACCTGGAGTATATCTGGAGAGGGTTTCGGGGGTCAATGCCCCCGTGGCTCGGTCTGATCAGGCCTCGTGGTGGACCAAGGCTTGATCAACAGGCTGTTACCGTTGGCCTCACGCAAACCGATGCACGAACCACAGCCCAGGTGGTCAGGCACCGACCCCAGGCGCCCGTCCAGCGCCCTCCCGGAGACAGCCAGGGGCCCACTCGCATGTTCCCCCTACCCCCATGCACGCCAGGAGGCAGCCGAACAGTCCCGGGCCCCTGACACTCACCTTGTTAAATAAAAAAAAAGGCACAATACCGCGACTGGAGCAATACACAAATAACCTGCACATAGAAGGGAGCTTACGACGACGTTTCGGCCCGAGCGCACTCGTGGCTCCCCCGCCCCTCACCGCGGGGACGTTGCAAAGCCTGATGAGCATTTTGCATCAGTGAAGAAATGCTATTAAATTTACTCTTGGATAAAGTCAAAGTTTTCAGCAAGCCGAACCACAATTTTTTACGATAAGATTTGATAAATTTAAATCTTGTCTACTAGAGTTGGGCATTTACCGCTGCAAGTCATAAATATATTTCATCGATATATATTTGTACATATACTTGTGATAACGTTGAAATGAACACCAGATTTACACACACACACACACACACACACACACAACACACACAAACGTGATTATACATCAAAATAATATGCAACAACTTAGACATTTAACTTACTGAGGGACTGAGCACTTCCAGCGTGGACAGCAGGTATCGGGAACTTCAACACAATAACTGTGGGGCGGTGGAGGACACGATGGTTGCAACCTGGTGCACAACACAGCGCTCCCTCTACACGTGCACTCTTGACACTCATCTGGATACCACTTTGCACCTTCGTCTCTCAGAAGCCCAGTGGCATCAACACAAACGTTGTTGACATAGTTCTCACATCCCACTTCTGTGAAATCAGCGTACTCAGTGAACATTGGCGCCCACAAATTTTTAGAGAAAAAAAAAAAACTTTTAATGTAACGGCTAAAAGTATTACAGAGAAGTAATTTAGAGGTCCTGTAAAGAATAGTTTTTACACCAAGTTGATAAATATAAATTCAGTTTGCAAAAAACACACATTTTATTAATGCAAAAATCTGCATCTAAGGAAAAACTATTGCTGCGAAATACAAGGAGTAAATGCCCCCTCTTGTCCCTTCCTGTTTACACCCACATCACTGATAGATCTATTTACCTGGAGAGAGTTCCGGGGGTCAACGCCCCCGCGGCCCGGTCTGTCACCAGGCCTCCTCTATGCGTAAAAATGCTAAATTGGACAAATAGTATTGTTCAAATTACATAACCTCTTAACTAATACATTCAAGAATACTAGTTTTTATTTTTTAAATATTCTTTTTTTTTTGTTTATGGCCTAACAACTACCAGTCTCCCGAGATCACACTCCACCTGGTAAGCAACCACAAAGTTTGTTTAAACTGCGTTCACACATTAAGCTTAACTTATTCAAAAGAATGAAAATTACTTTTTATAATAACTTTCAAGTTGCTATCACGAGCGCCCAATACATTTTATAAGATCTACTAATGTTATTGAATTACCATAAACTACAACGTTGACATTCAGCATACTAAGTGACCAGGTGTAACGAGACTCGTCGATAGTCAATTTGAAAAGCCAAATTTAGAGGGCAACAGTTGCCATCTATATCCACATAATCATGTGCATTAGAAGTGAAAGGTTGGTTGTTAGAGGTGGCGATAAGGCTTTGGCATAAAGCGGTTTTAAATATTTTGTAATTGTTGACATTGTGCAGTGAGGAACCTACATGAAAGTAAATTTATAATTTCATGTGATGGTTGCATCCTTTCTTACAAGGGCCACAGGATGGGGACTCCTGGACTAGATTACCGAGAGTAAGCCCAGATTCATCTGTTGTGAGCCGACTAAGTTTCCTAATCTTGAAATTAAACACTCACCTACGGTACACTAAATGAATAATGCATTAATAAGCTATATTTAAGTTTTACGTGAACTACTGTATATAAACTGGCTTTCTCCTTGAAAAGTTATAATCTCTGGCACAAACTAGGGATTACCCAAGTTTCTCTGAGGCTCTGATGATATATTAAAAGGTTGAAGCTTTGGTGGAAGCTGGGAAGCTGGCTCTTGTCTTAAATCTGTGTCCTACACTGACGCAACTACAGAAGCTCGAAATGTTCATGAAAATACTGTATTGTTTGCAGTTTTCTCCCTGAAGTACATTAAGCTATTCACACACACACACACACACACACACACACACACACACACACACACACACACACACACACACACACACACACACACACACACACACACAGATCCACAGCTGTCAAACACCTAATCTCACCTCGACAAAGATGTGCAGGTAATTTCCGTGGCACAATAACAGCAGTAAAGGAAGGCTGTGTGGTGGACATTTGTGCTGCACACACCAGCTCCAGGCACAGCCCTGGCAACTCTTCTACCACGCTACCCCATCGGTACATCACGTCATCATAGCAACAACCTGTGTAAGATATCTCTCTTTAATAGAGGAAAAATTCATCGCTTCACCCAACTGCATCTAGCAATAAAATGCAAATTTAAAATGAAAACCGAACATTTTGAGTTTTAGTCAAGAAAACTATCTAGCACAAATGGATACACCCAGTGAAGTACAGAAGAAGGAACTAGTATTGGAAGATCCTTTTCCCTTCCCCAAGGAACATAACATCTGGGGAAGGGAAGGTAATTAGGTTCGATCCAATTAAAGGAAAAGTAACACCAAATACTTCGTTCAAGGCGTCTTCATTAAGTCACTAAGTGCCACTAGGCAGAAATTTCCCAAATTCCAGAACTATAAAGGCGGCTCAGTGTCAAGAGGGGTTTAAACCGTGCAAGCAGCTTGTGAAGTGGTTAAGACACGAACGGCACACAACAGGCTAAGCAGTATATATGACCAGCTTATATACGTTATAAGTGTGAAGTGGAAGTCGTGGATCTTTATAATAAAATACACAGACTCCTTTATATACAATATTCGCTTATGAAAGTTAGCTCAACTGAAGTTTAGTCAATACATTACCTTCAGAACTCTGGTCACATAATGGGTAACATCCATGGCGCTCACAACACCGGTTGAACTCTGCAGATTCAGGCTCAAACCTACAACATGACCAGGCTCCACTGCAGTCTTCATGCACCGCAACTTTTCCACTTCCTGCAAGATTTGTGCACTTACATTTGGTTGCGAAAATTACCCCCCCCCCAAAAAAAAAAAAAAGAAAAGAGATATATATATATATATATATATTATATATTATATATATATATAAATATATATATATATATATATATATATATATATATATATATATATATATATATATAATATATATAATGTTAAAAGTTACTTTCATGAAGCATCAATAAACATTAGTAAAGTTTAACTAATATAGCAAACAAAAATGTCTGTACAGGCTTTTTTGATATTTTTAATCTTGCACCTTTTTAAGAATTATCCAGTTCTAAAACTAATTACAATCCGAATAATCTTTTCTTAGTGTTGAAGCGCCAAAGACACTAATCATACCAGTATGAGTGTTTAAATTATGAAGGTAATTAATTTCTATCTTGGCTGGTAGATTCCAAAGCCTCTTATTAGGTAGGGAATAAATATTTGGATTTTTACGACCTCTGCAAACTAAAGCTGTTTATCTGGTTGCGTATCGGTTCCAGTTTTTTTTTTTTTTGTACAACTTTTGTTCTAGTCGGCAAGGTCTGTTTCCTCTCCTGCTTTTCTTTAAAATAGTCTTAAATTACTTTTTTAAATTAATGTTCCTTGAGAGAAGAGTGCCACAGTAGTTTGAAATTCATTTTAGATTCATAAAATGCAATTTCTCTTAAGTCAGTACCTCGTTCGAGCTAGTCAGAACTGCACATGTCTGAGGAAACTTGCCTCTATAATGCTGCAGGAAGCTCCATCTACAACAGTTATGTAATAATGGAAGGTGTGTCAGTTTACTTCCTATCTGATATTTGCCTTAAAACCCCGTATTTTATTCACTGCCGCTACTCTCACTGTTTTACGTGGTGTACAATACCGACAAGATGAAAATTAGACATGTGCAACATCTGGGCATCTTTAATGTAGACGTTTCACCATCCAGTGACTATCAATACAAGTTCAAGGACGTGAATGGAAGGCAGAACTATATAGAAAAGATGAGGTAATCAGCCCCAGCTACCTCATTTTTTCTATACAGTTCGTCTGTCTTCCATTCACGTCCTTGAGCTTGTATTGATGGTCACTTGATGGCGAAACTTCTACATTAAAGACACCCAGATGTTGCATACGTGTCTACTCTCACGGTTCCCGGTGGAAAGCACGAGTGTAGTGAGAACAATCGGGGAATACTGTATCAACATTTGTGGTGCCAGATTATTCAACATCTTACCAGACGATATCAGAAACACTGCTGAGACAAGTGTGGAAGTGTCCAAGAGGAAACTGGACAAATATCTTCACCAGGTGCCAGGTTAACCAAGCTGTGATGGATATGTGGGGCTGTGGACCAGCAACAGCCTGGTTGACCAGACAAGCCTGACCCATGGCCAGGCTCCGGGAGTAGAAAAACTCTGAACTTTACTTTGGCCACAGTTTTCTAACGAGAGTTAAGATGGCTTCTCGAGTACCTTCTTTCATTAACAAATGGATGACAAGATTTCACTACATCATTCTTTTAACTATTAACACTGGCAACCTGGGCTTTGACACTTACGATTATTATTCGAGCTATGGATATGCGATTTCAAAATAATCCACAAGCTAATTCATACATTCTATGGAATAAACCGCTACCAAAAAAAAAACATTTAATCTAGCAAGTTAAGGAGTCTGAAGCTTTTTATTTTATACACTAAGAAGTAACTTCTCAACTTGGCATCGTGTATATTGTATATTTAAAAAATTGTATAAACATTTGACATATCTTACAACACTGCTGAAATGCTGGTGTATTTATCATGACATTGTTGTGGTTCACTGTTAGAGCGGCCTACCATGGTTGCCACAGGAGACGGGGTAGCAACCATGCTCACGGCCGCACTGCAGGAACTCTTCAGAGGTCATCGGGAACTTGCAACATTCTTCTGGGTTAATGCAGGGTTTTCCGTTGTTTATACCCAACTCATCTGTAAATAGAAAAGTGGCAGTAAACAAAAATTTTTTTTTTACCCGTATTATAATTATGGAGGAGCGCTAAACCCGTAGGATTATACAGTACCTGTGTGGGGGGGGGGATGGAAGGCATTCAGGCAACTAGAATACAGATCCAATTCCCTAGATCAAGAGCCCCTCACTAGCGTCAAGGAACCTCGCTAGAGGGGAGCTCTTTTACCCGTAGATATTGGTAGAAGAGACCAACCTGAAACTTGCACGAGACCAACCTGAAACCTGCACGAGACCAACCTGAAACCTGCACGAGACCAACCTGAAACCTGCACGAGACCAACCTGAAACCCTCAAAGGGCTACCCTAAAAGCCCCTTGATGCCGGAAACACAACCTATGCTATACTACGAGATATAATTACCAATTACATTAAAATTCGTCCCATCTACATTCTTTCTCCTACAATATTTAAAGGTATATTTTTTCTATTTTAAATGGGTGGGATGAATTATAATATAACTGATACTTATATATCTAGAGTTGTTGGGTAAAAGGACACGTGTAACTAATGCGACATTAAATTTATTGAATAATAAGTTGCACGTGTGCCTTTTTATCCAACACTGTCGGTAAGTCTATCAACATTATTAGAATGTCTATTGTTGCAAAATCTCTCTCTCCAATGCACACACCAATGTATATTGGAGATTGTACATACCCTTATCTATGCGAGAAAAAAAACTGTCCATGGACGCAACATTTACCTTGTTTAATGCATTATATCTCATTTAATGTTTAAAGACAAAGTTACCGTAGAAAAAATATTCACAAAATCTAAAGTTGATCTCCATGCTAAATACAGAGGATTTTATACTCTTAAGAACCATATTCTCCAGTTCTTAACTTGTTTATACTGCCACCGGCCCGCTAGCAGTCTAATTGACATGGGTCTAGTGTACTATTGAGAAACTGGAAAGAGGCCAGTGCTTAAGACACTGGGCCATGGACTGCTTCACCAGCGAGTCTCAGTATGAAATTCTAACACTGAACAGGTACAAATTAAACTGCTCGTTTATACGGAATATTCCATTGTACCAAAAGTATCCCCATCCCCTCTTCTCAAATTTTACCGAAAGGCCTGAAAATGGCATGTGACACTAGCGAGTTCAACATTCTAAAGTGAGAATAAATACCTTGAACGGGCAGAGGCCTTGATGGAGGAAGTAACAACAGAGGCAGCAGCAGCGACAAGACCAGAGAGTCTGGTCGTGTCATGATCGACCACAACCACCAGTCACAGATAATACTGAACAAGTCCAGGAAACTATAGTTTACTAACATAAAACACCTAATTTAAAATAAATAACAGTGAACAACGTAGAGTTATCCCGAAAGTTTAGGAACCAGTTCCCAGTATATACACACAACCTCAACAATCAGTAAACTGAGTGAGGAGTGTCGACGACTTACAGCTATAAGAATGACAAACCTGTTAAAAGAGAACGTATTATTCATTACCTTGTTACGTAGTTATGCTGCCGCTCAATAGGTGGCATTGGCGTCGACTCCTCGTCCTTGGCAGCCTGGGTTGCTAGGTTACGAAACAACAATAAAAAAATGGCTTTACCGAGAATTATTAAACAATATTCTCAATACTACTACATTCATTACTGAGCTATATCATTCTTGTTATCTGGGTTACAAACTAAAAAAAAAAATTCACGCCAGGACTTATGTTATCTATTTGGCAAAAATTAAACACTTTGTGGTTTAAAATGAAATTTAAACATTTTTGTCTTGTATAAACAAGAGAAGGACGGTTGAGTTAGGGGTTTAATCATTGGTAATATTGCATCTAAAATCCTCCTGGTTATGTTCTGATTCATGGTGGCATTATTTTGTTTGGCAGGAGAAATGTAGCAGTCTCTCCTGAAGCCCGACTTTAGTCACATGATAACCCATTCATTGGAACTTGTGATCATACGACTGAAGCCTTCTGCTGGCTTACCGATCCACCGTAACAAATATAAAGATGTGATGTTGAATCTTATTTTTACAATGATCTTTACTGGGGTCTTTAATTTGACATTTAATTTGTTCCATTCCTTATTAAAAATCAACTGATTGTCACAAATATAATAATAAATTATTATATAAAAATAATAAATTATTGTTAGCAGTAGCATTTATTATTATTATTATTATTCTTATTATTATTATTATTATTATTATTATTATTATTATTATTATTATTATTATTATCATCATCATCATCATCAGTGACATCCTTCGAGGACAGAGAAAATCTGAAATCCGATATAAATCCAATTTTCCAGTGGCCCGCAGAAAATAATATGAAGATCAACGAGGACAGATTTCCGATACACGACTATGGGAAAACTGAAGAAATAAATACTGGAAGAGAGTAAAAAAAAAAAAAAGGAAGGAAAAGGGGCAATCAACTCGCTCGACTGGCGGAAGAAAGACGGAAGAGACAGCGGTACAAACCTTAGTAATGGTTACTTAATAATGGTTAAAATCAGACACGTGAACAAGCACTTGGACATGCCAGTTTATATTAAGAAGCGTTTCGGTCCTGGGCCCTTGACCACTTCGTGGTCTATGGACCGTAACATGATTTTTATTTCTTAGAAATAGGTCCCAGTATTTGCTCGTGTGCCTTTTCAAACCGTAAGTGACATTAGCCATTTTATTAAGATATATGCAGTTTGTGGCATATTAGGGAGAAGGCGTTTCGCCCACCAGGGTTTTTGTCATAACTGGCGGACGAAACGTCTTCCTATAAAATGCCATAAAAGGACTTTGAAGGCAATTCGATTTGTCCTTAAATATTTGTTAAGGAAAGATCCTGGACTTCACCTTACGAAAGCAGACAAAGCAAATGCAATAGTGATTATGGACAAGGTAGATTATAGGGAAAAGGAGACAAGGAAACTCACGTTCCCCTTAAAATGCATGCAGAAGGCTTGTCACCACATAACATCTCCGCTTCAGGTTCTTCAGGCTTTTCTTATCGCTCACTGTGCAAACCCCGGGGCCAGAGCCTTAAATCTCTCACTCTGTACACTTAGCAGCGCCCTCCCGGCAACACTGACTCATTTAATAACCAGTATCTCGTAAAAATGAGCTTATCGTTTTGCCTCAACATAAAACCTGTGTATTACTTCTCCACCTCGCACCAAGCCCTCATCACTCTCCCTCTAGTGGTCTCCCTCTCACCAACTCTCAAACCTCACACCCCTTTCCTCGTTCGTCATGATCCTGGTATTCAGCTTCCAATAAGCTTTGCGACTCAGTATCAGTTAATCCCGCATTATCTCCGTAATCACAGCTGTGGTAAGAGAATACCGCCGGCAAGATCTGTACTGAAAATACGCTCACGGGAGATGTGATAAATCCAGTCTAGCATCGCTCTGTAACTCCTCACATACATATATACTGATGCCACTTCAGTCGTATAGCACAAGTTTTTCTAACGAACACTTCACATAGCACCTGGGAATAATGCACTGGCTTACTCGATGTAACATCAAACCTCGGAACGGGTGGGAATTGGACCCATGGCAAGTTAGTCCTAAAACTCCAGGCCAGTGAGTAATCTTATTGTAGCCAGCTGACTGCAATAAGATTACTCACTGTTGGATGAATCTTATTGTAGCCAGCTGGCTACAATAAGATTACCCCACTGTTGGATGAATCTTATTGTAGCCAGCTGACTACAATAAGATTACTCACTGTTGGATGAATCTTATTGTAGCCAGCTGGCTACAATAAGATTACTCACTGTTGGATGAATCTTATTGTAGCCAGCTGGCTACAATAAGATTCATCCAACTAGATGTTATTACTATTTCGTGAGTCGAGGTAACATCCCTCCTGCATACCACACAATTCAAATGCCCTAAGAAAATCTTCTCTGAGAATCATCTTTCATCCTCATATCGTCTTCTGGCGAGTACATGCATATTAGTGCCACAGAAGTACTCTGCCATTACTCCTCCACACGGATGATACGACGCTCATCTCCGTTTTCACATCAATGGTAAACAATAGAGCTTGATGCCCCTACCAACAGAGCCACTACACCTTCAAGATGGATCGTAGGCAACACATTACCTACATATCCTGGGACCTCCAGATCCTTCACGTCCTTGATGATGTGCTCTTGCAAAACACGCCACCTCCAACCTTTATTTGCAAATCGTACTTGGCAAGCACCTTACTTTGTCAGTGCAGAAAAGGTCATTAGCGTTCATGATTAGAAATCTAAGGCCTACCAAATGTAAGTTCTTCCTTAGTTTATTTTTACGTTTATCCATAGAGCTTATATCTAAAGCACTTTTGGGGGAAGCAACCCTCGATAAGGTGGGCTACTTGACATTGGTGAACTTGATTCTGACATTTCCAAAACCCCAGGGCATTTCTGCCTAGGATTTCTTTTCAGGTCGCTTATGCGACAGTGTTAAAACATCATCCGAATCTGTCGGTACTGCTAGTGTCCTAGCACACCAAGCCCCCGTCTCTCCTATCTCGATAGAACGCCTCGTTTTTTTCCCGGCTGCTTCACTTTACTGTGTCACAGGCCCCTCAGACTGATCGAGGGCCTAGTAGCGCCACATCACTGACCTCATCCTCAGTAAAGGAAAAATTCGCGGCAACGCCTTGCCCGACATATCCATCACATCAGTAATCGATGCAGATCTAACAAATGTCCACTCTCACTGCCACCGTCCCTTGTTTCTCAGGGCAACTCACCTTCACCGCCGCCTCAAGCTTCATCATCACGATCCTCTTGTGTTCCACGCCTCACGACTTCGAAGCTCTGGCATCCTTCTTTTAATCAAGCTATCACAATGTCTGCAAATTCAGCGATCCCTCTCTTGTATGCCTCAGCTTACAAGAGAGGGATACTGCTCACATGAAAATCACAAACGAGTGTGTAAGAGTCGCCACCAAAATATGGAGAGCTCGTGTGTAGTCGTACAGGCTGCTATCGTAGCGCTAAATGTCGAAATAAGAAAGCTAAGGCAATGAAGTTACTTTTTATGGCACTTGTATACTCTCCAGACTTGTATACTGTCATAATTCACTACTGTCGAGGAACGCAAGACTGTATATCTGAATTATTATTGTATTCACGGGGAAACGCTAAATCCATATGACTGATAGAGCGCCTTAGGAATGGGAGGCAATCAGGTTCGATATAAGGAAGGGGAGGATGTCCCATTACTCATTATCCATTACCAGCATCAAGGCACTCCTGTCCCACCCCCTTGAAGGTATTGCAGATGAGGAAAATATCCATAGGAGTTTTTACCGCTGTGAGGGAAAAGTTCAACAGATACGAGTAGCGAGCAAGTATATGGTAACAATAGTTTGATTGCCGGCTACTTGTTAAGGTAGGGGAAGTCTAGCTCCCGCTATCCCTCCCTTTTTCCCCCCACCCCGAAAGTGATAGTTTGATTGCCGGCTGCTTGTTAAGGTAGGGTAAGTCTAGCTCCCGCTATCCCCCTCCGTGTGGGGCTCCGGTCAAATAGTAATCACTCGACTCACAGCTCCCAGCACTACTGTAAGTACACACCTGCTCATATTTTAGTGGACTTATTCTCTGTACATTTTCTAGGTCAGCAATTTCACCTGCCTTGAAAGGTGCTGTTACTGTGCAGCAATATTCCAGCCTAGATAGAACAAGTGACCTGAAGAGTGTCATCATGGGCTTGGCCTCCCTAGTTTTGAAGGTTCTCATTATCCATCCTGTCATTTTTCTAGCAGATGCGATTGATACAATGTTAGGGTCCTTGAAGGTGAGATCCTCCGACATGATCACTCCCAGGTCTTTGACGTTGGTGTTTCGCTCTATTTTGTGGCCAGAATAATCACCACGTCTTTTAGGTATTGTACTTATCATGGAGAGTGATTTCTTAAGCAGTGGGTAACCTGTCTCTCTTTCCAGCTTGGAATGACAGATTGGGTCACCTGCCAATCAATGAGAAGAATTGAAGGAGACTGACTAACGTCCAGAGACGTCCCATGTTTGATCTATCTACCTGTTATGTAAGCAGACTCAGGACATTTCCTTTTTCATTTTTCTTTCAAATAGGATATACCTTTCATGTTTCACTGTTTTATGTTTGCTTTAATAAATAATAAAGTGTTTATCTTTGTGAATTATTATTTCTTTTTCTATTCATTAATTTTCCTGAGGAGGAGCCAGCCTTGGTAATACTGTCTGAAGTTGTTACAGGGCTGAGTAAGCCTTCACAAATGGCGACCTTGCCAGGATCAACTCTACTGAATCAAGATTCAACTCCATTTCGAATCTACCATTGGAACTTCAACGCTGCATACCACAGATGGTTACCACCAGCCATGAGTAATCATTCTCTATGGTAGGACTACAGTACAGGTATTTAAAAGATCTGGTGATTGTTATAGTCTCAATTTA